ATCTGGACAAGGTAAGTCATATACTCTATCACTTCTCTCTGTGACTATGGAATTACAATGGCTCCAGCTAATAAGCTAAAATTCACGGTCTTCAGATAATAAGAAAGAAAGTGAGGTGGTGATAACTTGATTAAGCATGTTGAGTTCAAGCCATAATTACTGCAAAGCAAGTAGGAGTTCCAAAATCAGTGTGGATCTTGTAAGCATTCAGCAGAACTGGAAGAATAATGATTCTTAGTCTTATTAGTCATATTCACATATAACTCTCAGAATACACAGTACTTGATATAGTGAAAAGACACATTCCCAGAACACTGAAGGTACTGCTCAGCACATTCATTAGCTGATGGGGCAGAATGGTGGGGAAATCAAGCACTGACATTCTGACAATAGGTTTCTATGAAGCCTGACCTGCAAGGTTTACAGGTAAAATTTCAAGAACAGTCTGAAAGAAGATACTGTAAATGCTAAAAGTTTAAAAAGAGGCAAGGATTGTGCCATCCCCAAAGCTAGACTATAGGGGTACCTTGTTCACTGAAACTTCAACTACCTTGGCACTACTACGTAATCTTGAGAACTCAGAACTCTTCACAAAATCATTTTGTCATACAAGCCCACACAACATTATCACCAGAAACATTGAGATAAAGTGCATGAAATTTGTTAGATCCAAACTTTTAACAGACAACTTGGAGATTCTGTGCTGCACTGGATATGAGATTACATATCTATTGGGTAAGGGAAAAGAGATTTAAATTTTCCTATTAGCCATGACATCTGTTACTGATATGCAGGTATCACTGTCACATAAAATGTTAAGCTTTATTTGGCATAACAGCATCAAAACTTCAGAGTATACTTAGCACTAGGAATCAAAACAGACCAAAATAAGACATACCTAGGATTATTTTTTACTTGGCAGAGACTGTTCATCAGGCAGTAGATATTCTCCAGCATAACTCTACAACTTCCTGACCTAACAGAAAGCATTTTTCTACAATGCTTAAGCAGCAAGAAATCCAGGTCACCAGAATGCAGGTCCAGAACGAAAAAAAAAAAAACGCATTTTCATGAGGAATTTGGTCACTGATTAGGCTGTGAGACTGACATCTGCAACTAGCCAGAACAAGTAGAGAGCTGGGGGCAAACATCCTTCTTTTCACTTGGTTGCAGATTCTCATAACACTCACCTAATTGAGTATGAAGGGGAGATTTCCTAATGCCAGAGGCTTGTTTTCTGTTATGGAACAGTTTAACTCTTGCTCCCACAGAGTAAACACTCACACACTTTGCACTGTCCTTGATGGCAAAGTCATTTATAAAGCATCTTCCATTATTCAATTAAACATTTGTTGGATCATGTGGGAATGCATAGTATTTTACAACTTACCTGTTTGCAAGAGTAAATAAAGAACATACATTGCCTTTTTGTCAGGGCAGCACAGGGTATTTTAAATACCTGCAGACCAGAAGGCTTCATTGAGAGAAGATTTACTACATAGACCAGTTTGATAATAAACAGAATCCAGAAAAATGTATGAACAGTTTAATAAGTTTTGGTGATCAGAGTCCTTGTTTTTCTCATGTGTTCCTCGGTTTGCTCCTTATCACTAATATTTACATTCTTCATAGAGCTGAGGTAACAAGGCAGGAATTTTAACATTCGGTATTTTGTAAAGAACTACATTAGAAGTACTGGTGAGCGAGTCTGCATTGACATGTACAGTAAGACAACCACATAAACGGAACAGCTCTCTCATTAGTAATAACAACGGTATCAGAAGACAGGTTTCTTTTCCATGAGGTTTTTGATCCAAAATTTACTGGTCCTTTGAAAAGCTGTTTTTTGTGACCAAGATTGACTAGGACACATGAAAGACAGCACAACTAGAATTTCATTAGCCAGATAGTGGTAGCATAAGGCACTTTGTAAATAGCTTTGCTGCCTTGGAAAATCCATAAAATTATACTTTTTGTTCAGATTATGATTTGGTCTCATTAGATGTGCACACTGGGCTGTGTAGCAAGCTAGTTCTAGATGTGAAAATTCTTCCTGAATTTCAGGTGGTTTGCTGAGAAAAAGCACATAAATCTAAAATATACAGGGAAAGAGAAGGCTGTCCTTGAAGAAGGTACTTGTCTTGTTCCCAAGTACACAGGTTCTCATCTTCAAAAGGTTGCCATAGTCCCTGAAGAAAGGAAAGGAGTAGCAGAAATGCAAAGAACTCAGGGTAGTAAGTGTAAGCTCTCATATCCCTACACATCCATTTTTCAGAGTGTATACAGGTGTTGAAAGGCTGACTTCTAAATGCCAGCTCTGGTTTATGCCAATCCAGTCTCCAGAAAAACCTGCTCCTTGTTCTATTCCGAGACCTGTTCTCCCGCTGCTGGAATAAATCTATAACCATTGCTGTATCTGAAGGGCCCATAAGTCCAAGACATCAGAAGCCTTGTCTATTCAGCTGCTGAATCAATTATAAGATTGTAAGGCAAAACCTGTACTGCTGTCAGAACTTCAAGAAAACAAATCTGTTTAAAAACCACACAGCATGCTATATTACAACCAACTATTACACCAAAGGGCTTAATAAAAATTCTAGGATCCCTATGAGCAATACTGCACTGCTTTGATAACTCCTGCACACTCAATACATACTGCCAGTATTGTTTCCAGGACATGTTGACAAATATATGCAAGGTCTCCAGACTTACTGCCAGTGTACAGTGATGTGATGACTTCAGAACACAACTCCTTTTCTGCTAGCATGGATGGCTGGAGAGGGGCAGTATGATAACTAATGTCACAAGTTTCCAAGTCTGTTTCCTCAAAAAGGTCCAGATGCAGCTGATCACTATTACCAGTGAGACTTCAGCAGTAAATGGAAAAGCAAATGGAAAAGCAAATACACTATCTAGTCCCTCTAATTTAACAGCTAATATCTTACAGCTGATAAATAGCAAAAGATATTCTGCAGTCACGCAAAATACACCTCCAGAAACAGTGTCTTAATGTAGACTTGAAGTTTTATAATGACATAGGGATGAATATCTTGCTATTAAAATAAAATTTAATTTTTGGGAACAGACCAGCAAATTGTCACTCTCAGGTCTCCTTGTTTCCTACATTTTCTTTGTAATCTGTACCTTGCTTACAGTCTTCCAGTATCAGAGAAGTTTAGGTGATTTAACTTCAAATAAATACCGAATCCTTCCTGAAGAACGACCCTTCCACAAGATCAGAGGAAACACTACATATAACTCTAAAGTGATGAGATACATCATATTCATATTCCCTTCTCCTGAAGCTGATACGAAAGCTCATACCTATTTGTACTGCACCAGAAGTTTTGGCACAAATACCAAGTTGTCACATATGCTAGAGGTTCCTCTGCTGCAACCTGGGCATAGCATTATGCCAGATCATGGCACAGATCGCCTGACTACAGCAGAATAGACTTCTCTTCCTCAATCAGGTGCAGCTCAGGACTGCTCAACCAGAACTTGCTCCTCCTCAAATGCCCAAGTCTGAGTAGGATGAACTCATCAGTTATTTGCCAGAAACATGCCATTCCATTCCAAATTAAGATAACATGCTATCGGTCTATTAAGGACATAATGCCAATATATGACCAGGCCTTAAACTAGAGACTGTCACAAGGACAAGGATATAATGTCTTTTATTTTGTTAAAAAAGGTAGCATTTCCTTTTACTTTGTGGATGCCCAAGCAGATTTCAGGTCTGTCTTGTTGAGTGCTTCCTTTTTACTTTTTGTTAATTTGTCTGGCATCAGGCAATGAAGTTCCATCTTCTATCAGGCAAAACGGGACTAAAGGGAGTTCATAAACACTCACCACCCATTATGTTGGGAGTGCACAACATTAGGCCAATATTTGCATTTTCTTATAAAATTTATTACAGCAAAACCTTGCCTACCGACTTCCTTAAACCAGGAACATGGCTAGCAGTATCACTGGCAAGCATCATGCTGTTCTTTTTCCAATGGTCAGATGGTGCAGCCAAAGCATTTGCCATATTTACTGAAGTGGTATGAAAAGACAACTCAATATCAAAAAATCAGTAGTATAAAATAACTTTAGAAAGTAACCAGAACCTATAAAGACAGTGCTTGTCTCTTAAAAGTTATTGAAATTTTATTGAATACAATTCCCAACTTTTAATTCCATATTTGACTAGTTTTTGAAACAGTCAAGAAACAGGTATTTGGACCTCTCTTGGCATCATCCAGTTATTCACTGTTGTAGTTGACTGCATATTACATCCTGTTCTAGCAATGTCTCTACCTATGACTGAATGCTTCAGTAGGATTTACAGCGAGAACCTCACGCCTTGCAATGCTGTGCTTTATAATCTGCACTGCCTAATTCTGCAATGATTTAACTTCATACTGAAAAAAAACCATCTTACAGAATGTTAAGAGTCTGGGAACATACCTCAAGAGACTGCAGCCTCCTCTTCCAGGAAGTTACAATAAAGCCCGGCAATTACTTTCAAATAAGGAAGCTGACAAGACTTTACCTGAGTGCTCTGTTACCATTAAAACATGAACTGACTGCTTGGCTAAAAATAGTAAGGAATGTTATTCACCTTCACAGCACAATATGAAGTTCATGTTCAATTTTGGGTGTGGGGAAAAAGGATCAGAATTCGATAGTGGAAGATTTTGCTTAATAGGAGGATTTACGAAGACATATTTCTACTCTTCTACTTAATTAGCAACTGTTAAATTGGGTTGTTATATTTCATTACATCTAAATACTACCACAAAGGGTACCAAAGATTTAGGATGGATATAAGACCCGTTAAATTTAATGGAAAAAATATTTGATTTCAGTAATTTTTCTGAGCAGGGGACATTATTGATTTGCTGTAGCAGCCTAGGGACAGTACCACATTACGTGCTGTTGTATCAATTAAGGCTTTGAAGCATACGATCAACTCTGCTTCTTATGAGTTTAACCCATTAAAAGAAAAAGCTTACAATGTCACTGCCGGAGAGGGATGATACAGAAGATGCAGATGAGCCCGAGGATAACTGTTGTGTGCTGCCCAATGACAAAGTCAAGTGTTGATTGTAAGGTGGTTCAGAGTCCCTGTTCTGTTGCTGTTCTCCATTGCAGAGAGCTATCTGGTCTCTTATTTTCAACCTATTATCTGTTAAGAGAAAACATAACTATCATTTAAGAGCACAGAATACAAACATAAAGGCCTTGAAGTCTAAGAAGAACTGCAGTTTAACAAGCTAATTGAAAAACAGGCTCAGAGAAAACTAGTCTTGGGTTAGAAAGTTACAAGTTCCTTTTATTTTTTCCTATATATCTGAATGATTAATTTCAAGGCATGAGTATTTTGATTACATCAAATTCAAGAAAAAATTTTAAGTTGGTTTCCTGCTATACCTACCAAGTTCAGGTGATAAATTAATTTTGCTCCCCCACTTCTTTTTAATCCAGGCCCTGTAGTCAATCACTTCTTGGGTCACTTTGATGATTCTACCTAATGTGCTAAAAAAATTTTTCAATTAAGTATTAAACAAAGACTGTTGGTTATATATTTGCAAGCATTGTAACAAGCAACCAAATTATGCTAAAAGTCAGACACCCCTAACCAAAGAATCCTCTAGAACTTTCATATTTTTAGTGCACAATTTAATCCACTGAATCACCACATTTTTTATATTAGTATATTATTTTTCTTCTACTATTCCAACATGCAAGCACTGATAAGTAAGAATTTTACTCTGTATTTCTAAACGGAGTGCATCTTAATTATCAAGAATGTACATGCTGATACCAGTGTACTTGATAAAAGCAATTTATGGATCTTGCATTTCTCCATACAGAAATCTGTATTACAACGCAGAATTATTTCAACAGAATCTGGATTACAACAGGTATGGGATGCACTGAAGACACCAACATCCCAGCACTGTAATTGACTGTCTGGAGACAGATGCCTTCATTAATCCTTGCTTACAGATTTACAAGACCACTTAAAAGGTGTTAAGGTCCCCACAATTATAAAGGAAGTACCATGGATCATGAGGTAGTGGAAACAAGAGACTGGCTGCAAAACTGGAACGAGTGAGAATTTTAAAAAATTTGTAACAGTAGGAGGCTCAAAGGAAATGCATACCTGGTCCTGCTGAACAGTGACTAATTATCAAAATAGAGCTTTCCCAACATGCTTTCCCAACATTCAGCTATTTGAATTGTACTTCTTGAGCAGGTGCTGTCTTCTTGTCTGAGAGCTAAGTTTTCAAGCTTTCCTTTCATCAGAGACTGAAACACTAACTATAAGCTCCACGCTCCAGATCCACAAAGAAATTACTATCGTACAGAAAGGGACTGTGAAAAGTTATCACTTTGGAGAAGGTGATGTTATTTTAGTTTTGAAAATCTTCGATGGTTACATTGAAGTCTATTTTGTATTTCACATCATAAAGGTACATTCTCTCTGTACTGGAGTTTTTTTTTGGTTTAGGTCTATAATGGGAAGGCAGCACATACAAAGCCTTAACGTACCCAGACTACCTTTATTAGGTCTTTTCATAGCAATGCTTTAAAAAGTATCACTAACTCTCCTGCTGTCATAGGGATTACTATTTCATGCAATACCAAATACCACATGTTCCATGTTAGTATTCCAACTTTAAAGACATGTCACTGTTAGTACTAAAAAAAGTCAGTCCAGCATTTTAAGGAACCATTGAACCAAATAACATCATCTAAGTTACAAGTCCAATAGCTGCAGATGGGCCACCAGGACAGAATGCATGTCATCCACCATTCTACTTATGTAATGTAAATAAAATGATGCACGATGGAAAGCAAAATCTTGAATTTTACATGCAGAATTAAAAGTGTGATTGTCACCACTCAGCCATTAGAGATCTGGGTTATAATAGGTAATTCTTTGGGAACCACAGTTCAATAGCTAAGCAGAACACATTAGGAAAAGGACGAATAAAACAGAGGATTACATTTTGTTAATGTATACTCCCATGATGTAACAGCATTTTAAATACTCAATGCAGTTCTAGTTTCTCAATCTCAAAAAGGAAGTTGAGCAAGAGGAGACAGAATGAACACAGGGATGTCCAAAACTGAGAAAATCAGCTGTGGCCCTAAAGCTGTAGTTCCCAAGACAGCAATGTCAGCATGGGACTCAAACACAGACCTGCTGGGTCTCTTCAGCACCAGAATAGGGAAGGAAATCTTGCAGTTAAAAAATTTCATCTGAGAATGCCTTCAGAAAGAGTTGAGCCTTTACTCCAGGACAACCTATAAATTTCACAACTAAAACCAGCTGTGGTCTTAGAACCAGAAAATGAAAAGGGACCAAATAACACAAGCTCTTACGGATAAGGAGTTTGCCAAGCCTGAAGCTTCTTGGAGTACTTTCCCAGAAGCAAATCAAAGCCTGAAGCTTCTTGGAGTACTTTCCCAGAAGCAAAATCAAGAGTCATGACTTCATAAACAACAAGGAAAATGAACAATACAGGCTGGTATTTTTATCAGACTTGGTGACTGATACACCAAAACCCCTGCTATCAAATAGATAAAATGGGTAAAACTACTGCTACACCAACAATTGTGTCAGAATTGCACATAGAGAACTAGGGAATATGTTCTCTCACCAGTTCCTTTCAAAGAGCACAGAGATCAAACCCCTAAACTCTAATTTTTTGTAGAAAAAAGGAAATTCACTAAGTTATAAGGTCAGGGGATCAAAGAGACAGATCCATGCTACATTGCTTGTACAGCAAAATTAAAAACATTCATTATGAGACATCAGAAACTGAAAAGTGACTGGGCTATACTGTCATATACTTAATGTAACAGCAAAGAGGAAGCAAGTGTGATCAAACTAGACATTGATCTCAAAGAATACTATTTCCTATGTATGGGACTTGAGCATATCCACAGGCTCAAAGAACAATTTTTTTAAATAAGCATTTAAAAGTTATGCTTAGATCTGTTTTCACCACTGAAAGTGCTTAGGAACAAAAAACCCTATTAATCTACCCTGCCTTTATTACAAGAAAACTTCACACTTTCGAGGCTTTTTATTTGACTAAGACCAGAATTTCTATAGATATACAAGACACACACGATTCTTCAAAGATGCTTGGATGGAAGACATGGAAAAACTGGTTAAAAAACTTAGAGAGCTCTCCTGTGAAAGATGCCCCTTTAAGGTTTTTCCCTTAATATTATTATCACATAGCAAAACCAGGAATAAGCTAGTTACATGTCTAGTTTATTTTATAATAAGAACTTAGAAGTTTCTCTTTTTACACACTGCAAGACCTCAGTTCACAGGGACACTTTCTAGCTGTCATTACAGCACAACTACTGTGCAAATCAATCTTAAGATCACTCTTAAAAGGTTCAGACTGATAACATCAGATTCAGTAAAACCAAATATGTAAAGCTCCACATGAATGAGGTCAGTAGCAGAGCATGAAAAAACATCAAGTCTGTGAGAGAACAGTCAAAATAAGTGAAATATCCCTAGGGTATTAAAAGTGTAATATAATCTAAAAGCAAACTAAGGAGCACCTTCGAAGGATCTGGCTTGAGTGTGAGGATTAAAAAACACCCTCAAACCTTTATCCTGACAAATACTCTGCATAGGAGAAGCTCGTATTGCTGATACCCTTTAAGAGAAAGCAAGCATTCTAGTGACACCACCACCATTCATTCATTCAAGACGTGAAGCAAAGGAAGAGCTATTTCAGATAGCACATTTCTCCTCTCTGTGTCAGCAGATCTAGCAGGTAAATTTAACATTCCTTTTGACAGCTACCAGAACTATTTTGGCCAACCAGTGGCAATTCAAATCTAACATATAGACCTGTCAGCAGTTAGATCAGTTGAACTGGAAAAGAGACCAAACAACTTTCCAAGCACAGAGATGGAAAGATCACTTTCTATATGGCTCAGACTACAGTTGTTTTGAAGACTATCACCTGTAAATGACAACTCATCAACCACCAGCCTGTTGGCATGACTGTCCCTTTCCCTCATCCACCTGCACCATTTCTGGCACCATTACAGAAGACTTCCAAAGTCTTACTTATACTGAAGAACATATGAGAGCAGAACCAAGTCTTACATCCTCATTTGCTTCCCAAATGTGACTACACAGCTGTTTAGAGATGCAGTCTGAGCATACACTCCTATCTGGACTATGCAACAGACTACCGTGTCAGCCAACATCCTTATCTGCAGAAAATTCATATTAACTAAGGATGCATCTTTGTCACATCCAGATTAGCATAATATATGGCTGTGAAATGGCTCTTGACCCAAATGTGAACTCCTCCTGCTTCTCTTGCTTCTGATCTGTCCATCATCAGTCACATGGTGGATCAACTTCCTGACATGACAGAAATGTTGAGATATTTGTTCTCAGTCAGACCACAGAGTCAATCTGACTCATCTTCTGACTACAGGATTGCTAGAGCTGATCCAAGGCAAGATTCAGACTGAGAAGAAAGGAAAAGGACAGTTGATAGGAGTAGCTAGGTTAGACAAAGTATAATGTGAAATTACACCTTAATATAGAGGCCATGGACAGGATAGTAACACATAGTCCACTATTTCAAAGAAAATGAATCAATAAGGGAGAGCTTGTTGCCAATATCTGCAAATATCCTGCAGTTTATCAAGAAACAGAATAAAACTGGAAAAATGGTCAGACTCGAAATGGTGTATCCAAAGAAGGGCAAGGAAGCTGATCAAGGGGGTGGACTGTAAGTCTTAAGAGAAACAGCTGAGAGAACTGGGGTTGCTTAGCCCCAAGAAAAGAAGACTCAGGGTGGACCTTACTACTCTCTACAATTACCTGAAAACAGGTTGCAGCCAGGTAGGGGTCAGTCTCTTCTCCCAGGTAACAAGTGACAGAACAAGAGGAAATGGCCTCAAGCTGCACCAGGGGAGGTTTAGATTGCATATTAGGAAAAATTTCACCAAAAGGATCGTCAAGCACTGGAACAGGCTGTCCAGGGAAGTGATGGACTTACCATCCTTGGATGTATTTAAAAGTCATGTAAATACGGCACTGAGGGACATGGTTTAGTGGTGAATGCAGTGGTAGCTGGGCCAATGGCTGAACCTGATGATCTTGGAGGTCTTTTCCAACATAAATGATTCTATGAAAACATCACTCCTCAGACTAAAGAAGTCAGCTCACTTAAAATGACACACTCTTCTCTAGAGACAGGCTATGGGCAAAGACCATAGTATGTGCTTCAAACAGCTTAGTAACACCAATGCTTAAGCATGAGATAATCTGTCCATAACTATATTTTAAAACTAGACTCATGTCTCTGTGGCCCTAAATACTAAGAAAGTGATCATGATTTTCAGTCATCTTGGCTGAAGTTAGAACACTAAACTTTACCTTGCATACAAGTTGTACAGATTCAAAATGGATCAGTCTCCTCATTTTCCTACTAGGAAACTCCTTTTTCCAAGATGACAGGAAGCTGTTTGCTCTAATAAAAAAATCAACCAAACTGTCTATCAAACTCTCCTGAGCTGTTCTTCAAAGGGGATGGGTGAGACTGACTGGGGACAAAATAGCTTTAAGGTAATTTCTGTAGCTGTAAGAATTACTTCAGGATTACAGCTGATTACTGTTTCCACTTGGAAGAAAGCTTTTCCATGACAGAAGGTACCTTTCAACCCCCACTACACCTCAGACGTATTTGGAAGCTTGAATGAAAATGGTGGCAAGTCATTTGAATCTATTCCCTATTATTCTGTGGGACTTGTTACTACAGAACATGGCAAAGAGAAAGGTCTAGGTCGAAGGACTAAAAGCTGACTTTTTTTTCCCCACTGGGAATATCAGAAGCAGCAGCTGGCTAGAGAGCCTCAAATTAACTCAGACATTCGGTCATTTGAATTAGGCTGACCCTGGAAAAGAGCCATAACAGTCACCAAGAAAGATTTGAAATCTACTGAGACTGCCATCTACACAATTGAATTCTGTACACAGAAACCTTCCCTGGAAAGAGGTGATATGAATTCGAACCCACCAGACAGTTCAAGAACAAGTCATTCCACTTCAGGAAAAGTTAGCCCCAATTAGGACAAAACTGAATAAACTCAAGTCAGCCTGGGCAGTTCAGCCTCGTGCAAGTTCTATTCTTTCAAGTACTCTTCATTTAGTCTCAATCCTTCTAGTAGGATATCACATCATTGGTCTTAAAGGGAGACCACTGTTTATAGTTATATTATGGTTCAGTCTACCACCAACAAGCCTAGAAAAGGGAAAAAAATTATCAGATTAAAGGGCTCCTGGATGGCTAGGTTTTAGGTCAGGCCACCAGAAAAGTCTTGATACAGAGCACAGACCACTCTGTCTCACAGGTGGAAGAGGGATCCGAAACACACCTGGATTACCCAAGTACATCAGGTTTAACTACGAACCTCAGTTCCAAACGTGGACTGTTGAGATTCCACAACAAAACGTGGTACTAAACAGCTCATCATCCACCTACAGGTCCATTGGCACTGACAAGACTGGTTCTGGGGGAACTATTTGTATACACGACTTTATTGAATGCTGTTCCTCTCGTGACACCTCTGACAGAAAGGCAAGCCACTGGCATGACAGGTTCTGAAATTCAGACATCACTGGCACAGACAGCCCAGAACATGCAGACAGGTCAGACACATGACACCTGAACACTGCTGCTTGGGACTGTTTCACGGGTTTGAAGTTATGCCAAAATCCAAACATTTTCCCTAATATAGTGAGAAGTGCAAGTAGATGTGAAGTGCACGTATTGATGACACCTGAAGCTTCTATTAAATGCACTGCAAATATACTTTTTGATGTCTGTAATAAATACAGATACCTTACAACAGAATGACATTATCCTTCAGAGAAACACAGAGAAGTTAATGGAGGCCAGGACCTAAGACACAAGCAAAACTTCAGGAATCCCTAAGTTGTTCTATACTTGGGTAAGAACAAAGTTTCATTCAGTACCAAGAATTGCCAGACAATACACATTTAACAGACAGGCCTTTAATCTACCTTAAAACAGCAGTCTCAAATGTCAGTGCATAACACTCTGTACCACTCCCTCTGTACCTCCATCACAGTTCAGTCTCAACCTTTGTGAATTTAATACCACTGAAAACCTAGAGGATTCACAGGCACTATTAAAGTACTGCCTGTTTTAAACCCACCAGTGAAAGACACCATTCACTTTGATGTAAACTTAGTACAGAGAAACTATTTCAACTTCCAATGACACTAACGCTGGAAGTTCATATCATGACTAGAGTTGGTAGCCATATCAAGATAGTTTACATGACTTTTTACAGCCACCCCTCCCCGTGATTAGCTGGGGAGCTCAAAGCCATTGGGATTCTATGGAAGTCTTAGGGAAGACATACTTTGATCTAGCCCAAATTTATACTGAGAGTTAGAATAACATATACTAGAGCAAACACATGAATGGAAATGCAACATGGCTGCCAGACCTTCTTTTTCTTTCTCCTCCCCTTTCAAAAAACAGAGAAATTGCAAAGGTGAGAGCTGAGAAAGTACTGGTTGTACAGTGTTTCTATGAAAGACACTAAGAACTGCATTAAAAATGGCATGTCTACAAGTATGCTACTTTTAATGGCAGTCATGAAATTATGGTCAAACTGAACTGATTCTTTCAATATTTTTAATAATTTTTTAATATAATACTTTTAATTCTTCTTTTAATTCTTAAATACATATCAGGTGTTTTAAAACAGCTTATGGGGTCAGTATTAAAGAACTAGGGAAAATCTTAGCCTTGTTGTCTAATTTTCTGTCCAAACAGGCAATTTGATCACACACATTTCTTTCTGCCATATTACAGACATACATCATACCAAACATTAAAGAAGCAAACCTTCCCTTGAAATACTTCAGGCAGAACGTTTGAGGAAACACCAATTATCTTCTGGCTCCCTTCCACAATAACAGAATCTCACATTGGACTCATCCTGGGTTTTATCATATTCTCTTCATTTCAACGCTGCACACTGAGGCATTGCACTCACATATCCCTGGGCAGCTTAAATTTTTGTGCAGATTTCAATACAGCAACATTTAAACAATAAATAACATTATTCCTTTTATTGATCTAGACCCAAACATTCCTAATTGATTACACAGACAAATGGATATTTAAAAAGTGAACTAATTACCTCTCAGAATCTCTATTTGGATATGATCTTGCAAGTGGTGATACTGCATGGCTAAGAACAATGTAGGCATAATCAAAAACTTGTTTCACTTGCATGGCACCGTAAGAACTTCTGCCAACGTCGTTTCCTGAAATAATGTGACAGTCATCAGATCATCTTTTTTCAATATCAGTAACCAAAAAATTATTCATACTTAAAGCTCAGAAGCCTTAACAATACAGCCTAATTCTGTTCAAGCTGTTTATCCCATCCTAATCACATCAGGAAGGCACACATCAAGTGTGCCTATCTCAACAGAAGTTAACCTTAGGAATGACACTTAACATTATGCATTCAATTTACCACTTTTAAAATACTCGCGCACCAGCACCTGAAAGAAACGGAGCGCAGAGATCAGCTTAAAGCTCTTATAGCTGTTTTTCAAGAGTGAACCTACCAAGCCCAAAGCATCATGTCTCACTTACCAGCAGAGTTTCTGTAGGGCAAATTCAGCTTAAAATGACACTTGTGCAGCCGCATTGTCTTCAACTGGGTCAGATATATGCACATCAACCCCTATTTCACCTTATCAAAACTAGACATTAATAGACCAACTCATACATACTATTTATCTCCACAGGATAAACCAGTTGGTCAAAATCTACCACAGAGGATTCCAGAAGTTTGTACAGCATTGTTTTTTGATCAAGTTACTGGCACTCTCAACTGCTCTTCTTTAGGCATGAGTAACATTTTAACCAGAATTCCTTCCAAATCCAGTGTCATGTGAGGAACTGCAGAAGCTAAGAACATGGTACAGTTTCTATATCACTGAAAATGTACAAAAATTGGTCTCCCATTTGATACCTTTGACTTTTGCTATTAATAGCATGAAACATGTGAGGGGTTTTGTAGATATATTTGGTACCAGACACCAAAAGTTCACTGTCAGCATTCAACTTAAGAAACACAAATAAAACTTCCTTCAAATTGCATAAAATACAGACTAGGTCTTGAGTAGGTAGAAAACTTACAGTGAAAGCTTCCCTCCTTCAAAATGATGTGTGAAATGCTGTGAGAACACTGGAGAGGGATAAACCACTGAGCATGATTCTTTAAAGCTTGAAAATCAGATCAGGGCCCATAATTAAAAGAAATTAATGAAAAATGGCATTTTGAAAATTGATGGGTAAAGGACAGAATCTATCCTTTGGAGGACTGAATCTGACTTCAGAGGAATTCTTCATTCCCCTAAGCATTTTGTCCAGCAAGCCATTATAGACAAACATGCCGAGATCTGTCATACAAGGGGGAAAAATAAAACAACCTTCACTTGACTACTTGGCAACACATTTTAATCCTTCAAGATTCTACAGCCATAATGCCACTCTAACAGAAAAGCATAATCAGTGAAAACAGACTGAGAGCAAGAGCATTTTGGGAAAACAGAACTTTTCCAGTAATTTACATGGTCAAATAAAAACTAAACAAGGAATACTTCCTGAAGTATATAAAAATACTTTACTGAAGTAACTGTCTTGTTCTGAACGCACTGCTGCAGTATGCAGCAGCTACTAGGCTCAAAATTACAGAAGCCTCTTTAAATGATTTATTTACTATTGGACTCTATTCTGAAGTAGAAGCAGAGATCAATGTAGGCTTAGGGCAGTGAATCTAGGAGAAGACATAGGAGTATTCTTCACAGATGACTTCACAAATGACTTAGTCCAAAGGCAGCTGAGAGAAGTGACCGAGGTATTTCAGTGGTAAAGAAATCAGAGCAGAAAAATGTTAATTCTACTAGAAAAGTAATGATTAATTCAGTATAGGTTTTTCAGCAGCAGGACACTTGTGTCCAGCAGCAGTTACCACATAATGGCACTGTTGTGCCAGCAAGAGAAATCATAAGCCTTCCCTAATCCACTTACAGCAAACTCAGGCAGTTCAGTTTAAATCAACAAAGTTGTGTTTGAGTGACAATTGAAGCAGATTTGAGAACAGAGGCAGAATAGCTCATGCCTAGGTTCCTGGACTGCCTCCCTCTGCACCTGTAATTAGTTCATAAAGTGTCTGAATAAACCAGTTTTAATCAATTACACAGTCTGCAGAGCTTCTGATTTACACTGCAGCTGGAGCTACTGTGAACTGCACCAGTCAACTCTGTATAGAGATGGCCCTACCTAATCAAGAAAGCAGCATATTAATGAAGCCAAAAGATTGCATATTTGCATTTGCTGTCCTGAATAGATTTTCCTCAGAGATCACTCTCATTAGAGGATCATGCCTTACACAACTGAGCATCCTTCTTTTGTCACAATCTGGACTGATCAGTTAAAACTTGTAACCCAAATGCTCTCACTTTTTTAAAAAAACATACATATTTCAATACTCAGATGTACATTAGCAGATAACAATGGTGTGTGATTTCATGTATAATTCAATCCTTATTCTTTCTAACAAAGCCTTCATCCCTAAAGGAGCATGTCCAAAGTTTCTACCACTTGCTATCAGTATCCTTTATCTGAAGCAGTTTTAAGAATACAGCCCAGAAAAGGTAAAGGTAACTAAAACTAAAGCAGACCCATTTATGTTAAGCTATTATCTAGTAAACACCTTTTTGCAAGTTTCAGAATTAAAGAGGTTCTTTCAGATGCTAAGTTCAATGTATTTGTGTATTTTTATAAACATGTTTTATACACACACATATATATTTGCAGGTTCTAATGACAAATAGGAGATACTGAAAAGCTGCAATAAGTAATTCTGGGCAGCCACTAAGGCTAGAAGAGACAATCCCATCAACAATTGTTGCCAATTTAGTTACTTCCTGTACTTGTAACCTATCGAGATGTAGAAACAAGCAACATGAAGCATAAGTCCTTCAAGTTAAAGAGTCTCTTTCCAAACAAAACACATTGAATTTAAGGTTTAGAGCTTTCATTAGAGCCCACAGCAATTCAGAATGAAGAAAAAGGGATGGGAGGGAAAGGAGCAGTAGAGGCGGAACTCCCAAGTTTTAAACTCTAATGTGTTAAAGGGCAGCAATTTAATTACTCTAGCCACTGACAATCTGAAACAAGATCAAAATCATTCCTGTTCTGAACATCAGAAATGACTGAAGGACCTTGATAATCACCTGATTCCTAAAGGCATAAAATAATAAGTCTCCCTAAAAGTCTGCTGCATAAGTGCCAAGCTTGTTTTACAACCACAGATTAAAAGTTTGTCACCTGCAATCAGAGTTATGTCTTCCAAGACAGCATGCTGCTAGAACACCACCACACAAACCTTTTCTAAGATGGTATCATCTACTCTGCTCCAACATATTCCTGTGAATAGACTTCTGAGTGCCTGGCTTTGCAACTCTCCTAAATAAATCCTTTTACCTTTTATACATCAAAAAATAGGACAATTGCTTTGAGAAATGGAAGTGGTGCAGCTACAGGATGTTTACAGAAACTCCCTCCTTTTGGAGTATGTTAAGGGTGAGGTAATGAGATTTTCATCTCATTACCCTATCCTAGGACACTAACTCAAGATGAGAGATGTTACATGATTTAAAAAGGTCAAGTATACACAACTACTTCAAAATGCATCACCAGTAGATTAGTCTGATAACTCAAATCCATACTACAACACTTCCCACTTTAAGTGTGGATTCCTGAAATCTTTCTTGGAATCTTGTTTCTCAAATCACAGAAGTTATCATTTTCTGGCACACAATAATAAATCTTTGAAAATCCCAGAGGAAACCCTACAGCACCCAGAAGAATCCAAGCAAAACCCATTACGACCAAAACAGCAACACAACAGTTTGATGCCTGTTCCTTCTAAACCCAGGAACTAACAGAAGGTACTGAGTAGGTAGAACTGAAGTATCATAACCTTCTGATAACACCTTACATCTGTTAGCCAAACATCACCATTTCAAACTGAAGAAAACACAGTTCCTCCAACTTAAAGGAACTAATCCCACTAAACGTGTTCCTGTCCCCTGCAAGATTACTCAAAGTTATTCTTATGAGTTATACCCTTCAGTATCCCATTGCTGAACTAGTGCATAATCCCACAGGAGGGACTTTTACACAACTCTGAGAAATTACTAGGTCTTCTTTTTATCCCTGTATTTTTTGTCACATTTTTGGATTATAAAGTCATTTTTTGAAGTCTTCTTCCAAGGCTTAACTGGAGATTTAGAGATAGTTGTGATCAGGCTAAAAAAAAAAGATTGAAAAAATATTAAAGACTTGCACATACAGTGCGAACACAGGTTTGCAGGGGCAAAACTCTGTGACAGCTTATGCTAATTTAAGTCAAGAGACATCTGTGACCACTCTACCAAAATATTTGTTCCCATCTCCTTCACAGTTCTGCCACCAGCCCTCACAGAGTTAGACACTGAGTGGATCTGAATGCAAACTAATCAGAGATGATGATTTGTCAACTGGGCAAGGACCTGAACCCTTGGAAAAGTTTTTTGTACTGGGACAGAAGGAGGAACAGAACTAAACCAATCAACAGAATTCTTGACATTATCTACATACACTTGACAGGTAATTTGAGATACTGTACGAGTATGTGACTAAGTGTAGATCTAAGGAGGCTGTACTCATGTGATCTGATTGAAAGAGCCATCCTATATGTTCTACATAATTTTCCTCCTAGCTCCATCAGGTAAGTTCTGAAGGTCTGTATTAGCTGTCAGAAAATATTCCTATGGGACATAGTGGTCAGATAACTTCAAGCTATTGTCAGCTTTCATTTCCATTGCCAAAACACTATCTCCTGCAAGAATTACATTATCTCAGCCCATATAAACTCCTCTAGAATTTAATTCTTACCAACTCTTTGATAGCATACAACTAGATACCTTTTTTCTAAACTATAGTTCTTCACTGCTGCAAGGTTTATGCTAGGAGGAACAGTACAGAGCCCTAAAATTTAATTTTTCTTCTCCAACACACTATTAGCACTGATTAAAACATTGTGTAGCATATGTAATTTCTTCTCCTTCAGTCCTCAGCAGATAAGAAAGAACAGAACTGGCGGGCAGTGGATGTTTTTGACTCTAAACAATTGTGGTTCATGCTGCTATTCAGATGGATCTTCAGGCAAGTAAGTACAGAGCTCCTGAAGGAAATCTCAGTGACATAATGGCAGT